CCCGACCCCTCCTCTCTGGGGCCCAGGGGCTCATCGGCCGGCGGCCGGCGCCGCCGCTCACCCCGGGCCGCCTGCCTTCCATCCGTTCCAGGGACCTGACCCTCGGGGGCGTCAAGAAGGTACCAGACTGCCCGTTTCTAGGGACCCAACCGCTTTGAATGCCAGGCCTCTGGGATTCAGCCAGCGTTTGCTGGGCCTCATGACTCTTGTCTGCAGACTTCACCTACCCCTCTTCAGAGTCTAGGGACCCTGTCCTACCTTCCAGTCCTGTGCTGGGTACAGTGGTTGAGGTGGTTTGCAGAGGCGGGTGCAGGGCAGAGAATCCTTATCAGTTGTAAGACACTCTAAAGCAACTTGAGCCGTGTTTATTTCCCTGTGTGTTTTGGACACCTTTAGAAACCCCGCAAAGCCAGGCAGACATGAACTTGGCAGTTTCAGAGGGTTCAGAATTCTGCGCGGATCCCAGGGTGTGAACTTCAGACCTACAGTGTAATGAACCCTGGGCATGGCATTCCAGGCTCTGTCCTCCAAGAGTACCGGTGAGAGGGGAGCAGGGGAGACGACGGCAGGGCACAGGACCGCAGCATAGACCAGGTTTTTTGTTTTTTTCTTTGAAGACTTAACTTGGCTTTGGAAAATGCTAGTGATGGTCCAGCTGTGTCATCTGTGAGTGCCACCAGGTCTCTTGTCTTCCCTACTTAAGACTGGCTGCTAGAGCTATTTCCTGCGATACTGACTGGTCCGTGTAGTAGGTAAAAGAAGACGGGGTAAATCGCTTGCTCTTAGAAGTCCCACAGGCTTGCCTTTCACAGGGCAGAAGCTGGGTCTGCAGTTAGCACATGGTTTTGGGTACCCCTGGTACGTAGCACTTCACTGTCACTGGGAAACTTGACAACCATGTGGAATTCCAGGAGAGGGCCGGGATGGCCTTGGTCCTTAGAAGATGCCCTTCAGGAGTTTTTCTGTTCCCTTGTACTTTGGAGTCAGAACATACCCAATCAGTGATTCCTGTATTTTGCTTTCAGAAAACCTTCACCCCAAATATCATCAGTCGGAAGATCAAGGAAGAGTAAGTAGCTAGGCCTTCTGAGTACTTCGCCCCCTTTACTTGCTCTGAATTTAGAGATGTAGGCAGGAGTGTGGCTCAAATTATTTTATTTTAAATCATTATCATTATTATTATATTATCGTTTTTAGAAAGGTTTTTGCTGTAGGGCATGTGCACCCGCTGGAGAGAGAGAAAGCAAGAAATCAACCCCTGGGGGGGGTAACCAAGCTACAATCCCTTCTCCTCCATTTTCCTCTTGGGATTTTGGGCAAGTACGAGCATGTGCTAGGTGTGTTTTAAGCCTCCTGATCTGGGACTTGAACCATGGTTGGCCATGACCTTGGGAATCCAACGACATAACCATTAAGTCATCTGTTGGTCCCTCATTATTTTTAACCAGAGAGAGAGAGAGAGGAAGAGAGGGAAAGTGAGAAAGTAAGTCTCCAGGCCCAGGACTCAAACCACAGTCGGCCATGTGGGAGTCTAGTGCCCCAACTACTATGCCACAAAACCCCGTGACTCAAATCTTATAGTTTGTGTCTTTGTTCTTTTCATTAGTGATTTTCAACCCTGACTCTCGGATAACTTTGATGTATAAACTTGGAGGGGGGGAAAAAAAAAAACTAATGCCTGGGGCTCCATCTCTAGAAATTGTCATTTACCTTGTTCGTTGTAGAACGGAGTGATTCTCTCACAGACAGAGTTGAGAGCACTAATCTTTTTTTTTTTTTTTTTTTGAGAGGTTTTTCGCTATAGGGCGCGTACGCTCGCCAGACAGACAGAGAGAGGCATAGAGACAGAAAGCGAGAAATCACCCCCCAGGGGGGATGGTCACGCCGCAATCCCTTCTCCTCCATTCTCCTCTTGGGATCTTGGGCTCGCACGCACACGTGCCCGGCGTGAGTTTTAAGCCACCGGGTCTGGGATGCAAACCACGGTTGACTACGTGGGAGTCCAGCGACATAGCCATTACGCTAACTGCTGGTTCCCAGAGACAGCACTAATCTTAACAAAGATGTACGAGGCTTTCCTTGTCCCTTTATATGACAGCCTTCTGGCTTTCAATAGATAAAAAAAAAAAAAAAAAGCCCGCTACGTTTACACTTGTGGACAAGATGGTAAACTGCAGCAAACAGAAAGGACCCTGCCTCACCAAGAAAGTGAGGAAGATACTAGACTTAGGATTGGCTCCTGCTGCTCACGGCGAGGTTCTTGGCTCGTAAACTGCTCCATTGGAGCAAAGTGCGGGACAGTAAGGCAGTTCTCTAAGGCAGGGTAAGTGGTTCCCCTTCACCCACCCTCTGTTCCAGGCCCAAGGAAGAAGTAACCCTCAAGAAGGAGAAACGTGAAAGGGACAGAGACCGACAGCGAGAGGGACATGGCCGGGGCCGAGGCCGCCCAGAAGTGATCCAGTCGCACTCCATCTTTGAGCAGGGACCAGCTGAAATGATGAAGAAGAAAGGTACGAGGAGGGACCTGGAGTGGGCTCGGTCCGCCTGCCCAGGGCGGGGGCGAGGACAGTGGAGCTCCCTGCTCCTGGTTTCGTTTCCATGCTGTCGGCCTCATCTCTCTTTATCCTTGGTGAATCGAGTGACTTCTCACAGGGAACTGGGATAAGACCGTGGACATGTCAGACATGGGACCATCTCACATAATCAACATCAAGAAAGAGAAGCGGGAGACGGACGAGGAAACGAAGCAGATCCTGCGCATGCTGGAGAAGGACGACGTAGGTGCTAGGGGCCGGCGGGGCTTCCTGTGGCCGTGGAGGAGGAAGTCCTGGAGTCCCAGGGAGCAGCCGCGGTCTTCGGGTGGACGGACTGCCTTCCAGGGGCGCGTGCTGGCAGGCTGTGACCCCGAGACTCTTTGACAGTTCATCGATGACCCTGGGCTGAGGAACGACACCCGGAACATGCCCGTGCAGCTGCCCCTGGCTCACTCGGGGTGGCTTTTTAAGGAGGAGCGCGAAGAACCGGATGTGAAGCCCTGGCTGGCTGGCCCCAAGGAAGAGGACATGGAGGTGGATGCACCCAGTGTGAAAGGTACTCCGTGGCACCTGCCCCCGGGAACTGCTGATGGCAGGTCTGGGCTGCTGTTCCTGGCTGCTGTTCTGGCCAGGAGGTACATAAGCGGGGCAGGGTGCAAGTGGTCTCACAGGGTTCACTCCCCGCACGGATCACGGGCCCAGCCTTAGCTGTCACTTTTTGGATAAGTCACGTAACTCTTAAACGTGCCGTCGCCACCCCTGCCCATAACTCGGGTCCTCTCCAGCTTCCTGGCTGAATGCTGGTGGGACAGCGGGGGCGAGGGGTGGGGTCAGTGAGATGGCGTAGAGGGTGCCCCTGATCGTCATGCATCGATATCACCGTGGGCAGTGAAAGAGGAGCCAAAAGAGGAGGAGGAAGAGGTCAAGATGAAGGCCCCTCCCAGGGCAGCCAGGAAGACCCCGGGCCTCCCGAAGGACGTGTCTGTGGCAGAGCTACTCCGGGAGCTAAGCCTCACGAAGGAGGAGGAGCTGCTGTTCCTTCAGCTGCCAGACACCCTTCCTGGCCAGCCGCCCACCCAGGACATCAAGCCCATCAAGACCGAGGTGCAGGGCGAAGACGGCCAGATGGTGCTTATAAAGCAGGAGAAGGACCGGGTATGCTGCATGTGGGGCCAGGCAGGGAAGTCGTGGCCTACAGGGGAGGGGAGCTGTGTTGCTGATGCCGGATGCGGGAGCGACGGGCGTCTCGTACCTCTGGGACCTTGGAGCTCTGTGCCTCCATCCCTGTGTGTGCATTGGTGTGCGTGCACGTGCATGTGTGCTTTTCACAGTGAGAACTTCAGTACACGTATCAATGAGAGAACTCCCGTACCATCCGTCGGTTAGCGACGTTTCGTCCGTTTGTTTGCTGTGGGTTTTATCTGTATCCAGTGACGGTGCCCCGGAAAAAGGCCCTTTTGGGGAGCTCCTTCTGCCCGTTGCTGCCAGCGCCTTTCTTTGGGAGCTGGGAGGGGGCACCTCTGGAAGGATGGAGGGAAGCTCCCCTTGCCATCTCCACCCCGATCCTCTCTGCAGGACACCAGGCAGGCGGAGAACGCGTGTACCCTGGCTGACCTGACAGAGGGCCAGGTCGGCAAGCTGCTCATCCGCAAGTCTGGGAAGGTGCAGCTCCTGCTGGGCAAGGTGACCCTGGACGTGACCATGGGCACCGCCTGCTCTTTCCTGCAGGTCAGGGAGAGGCGGCTTCTGACGGGGGCGAGGGTCCCTGAGGCCAGTACTCAGGAGGGAGCGGGGTTCTTGGGAGCAGCGCACTCAGGTTCACAGGCCTGAGTCTGGGCGTGGGCTGGTTCTCATCGCTGTATCTGTCAATTGGCAGGAGCTCGTGTCCGTGGGCCTTGGAGACAGCAGGACAGGGGACATGACAGTCCTGGGACACGTGAAGCACAAACTCGTATGTTCCCCCGATTTCGAATCCCTCTTGGATCACAAACAGCGGTAAACTGAGCAGATGGAGGAGGGCGGCCACGGAGCCCACGGCCGCTGCCTGCTGCAGACGTTTTGTTCTCGGATCTGTACGACCCAGCCTTGGCAGCTGCGGCCGGTCCCCCAGGGCCCACGCAGCTTCCTCCCACAGCAGCTGTGAGTGGTGCAGTGGCCTTCCCGCCACGTGGAGAAGGCACATCCTTGCTGCTGGAGACTTTTCTGCTATTTATTTTGATATTTATCTCTTCATCTTCCCCACTCACTGCATCCTCCTGAGATAGACAGGAAGGTTGTGGGGTCGTCCCTGCTCTGCCTCTTGGTGGCTGTCGGGCCAGGCCGGAGTGGCAGGGTATAAGGACTGGCTTCTGCTTGGGCTCCTCCTCTCCCCCGGCCAGGGCGGGCTGTAGGGAGGAGCAAGAGCAGGGATGGGTCTGAGACGCAAGTCCTCGGCCCCCACACGCCAGCTCCTGCCGTGTCCTTGCACAATCGACCTTCCCTTTCTGAGCCTCATATTCCTCTGACAGAACGGGGGTCATACCTACCTCACGGGGTTGGTGTGAGGAGCCAGAGGAACGTAGTCGTGGAAGATTCCTTGCATAAGGCCAGACAGTAGGCACTCAATAAACGTCACTTCCTTTTCCTTTGACGGAGTCTATTTTCGAATGGAGTAGAGTTCCAGATGGAGTGGCCGGGACAGGGCTGCTCCTATTCCACAGCTCTCCACCCGGGTCTGATGCTCTAGAGGCGCAGGTCCGGCTGTTCGAGGCCCTCAGCCTCCTGCTACTCTCAGCCACAGCTTCCTGTGCGAGTTACCAAGAGGAAGTCAAAGATGGCTCCCAGGACCCGTAAGTGTCTGTCACAGTGGACTGTGGACTCCTTCCCTGCACCCAGACCCTTTAGTAAGAGCCAGCTCTCCCAGTTATTCCTAGAAGTATTCCTCAGGAGTCTGACTTCCAGAATTATCGCCACCCCAAGTAAAATAGGGCTGACAAACAGTCCCTGGGCAAGAAGGAAGTCAGAGCAGCTTCTCGGACACAGGGCAGATGCCGCCTGCTCCTACGCTATGCATTTGAGGCCCTGTGTCTCCCACCATGGCTTGGCCAGGCCCCAGTCAGCATGGATTGTAGTCCTGCTGGCTAAGTCCACCAAGTTCTGGGTCTGACTTTATCCCATCATCACGTTGCCACCCTCTGTTGTCCTGGCAGGTGCAACTTCTTCTCTGGGCAGTGGACAAGGCCGGGGTTCTTTGCCGGGGGGCGGTCTCGGGGAGGCCTCTGGCAGTTAGCACTGAGGGCTGGTGTCTTGGCTGCCCCTGGAGCAGCTTAGGAACTGCCTCACGACTTGCCAGCCCTCCTGGCGCCTTCGGGTCTGCCTTCTGCTATCTCCTGTTCCTTCTCTCCATTCTTTGAGCCTGTTGCTTATTCATCTTGACTGGGGCTTTCTCTGCAGAGTACTCCAGCTGCCAGTCCCGCAGCTGGGGCAGAGGTGGGGGAGGACACTGAACCTCTGGTGGCCACATTGCCCCTCGAGCTGATGTTCAAGGAGCTCGGTTGGGTAGTGTTCTGGTCTCTTCTCAGTCCTCAGAAACCTGGGCTGTGGAAGTCCTGCAGGCCAGAGACAGAGCCTGGGTTAGCCCCACACTCCGGCACACGCTCCTCTTGCACAGCTGACGCCCTGTGCGTGCTCTCGCTGCGGTCCTCCCTGTTGTGTTACTTGGTTCAGAAAGGCCCTTGTGCTGTTTCAGACTTACTCGGTGCTCTGTGTCATTAGGTGTCTGGTGTCCCACTGTCCTTAGTTCTGCCCTTCCCCAAAAGCTTGGGGAGGAGCAGGTGCCACGTGAACGTTGGTGTCACCGATTCACTTGTATTGGGGCCTGGACTTTACAACCGTACCAGTCGTCACGGCCCGTGCTAGGTCCCCGTGCACAGTGGACGAGGCGAGTCTGCTCTCGGTGGCATGTCTGACGCATCCATCTCAGCCAATAGCAAGGGGGAAGCCCAGAACCAGGCTCAGACCCAGGCACAGAGGGGTGCCCAGTCACTGCTCCACACTGCCGAGTGTGCATGCACTCAGGCAGGACAGCTACGGGCTTGTTCCTTCCCCAGCTTCATGATGAAGCGACGGAGTGCGGGCTGTAGACTCCAGGTTGGGGTTGTATCCAACTCCACCAGTAACTCTGGGGGGACTTACCACTTACCCTCTCTAAGCTGTTTGGTTTATTTTCCAGAATTAGGCAGTAGTAGATTTTTTCTCAGGGCACTTTTAAATGATCACGAACATGAAGCATTCGTTTGGTCATGCTGCAACCTCTTCGTCTGTCCACCCAACTGGGACTTGGCGTGCACGCACTCACACCTGGCATGTTTTCAAGCCTCGAGGGCCGGGATGGGAACTGCAGTCTACCAAGTGGGATGTGGCTCATTTAACCACTAGGCTACGCTGCCAGCCCTAGGTGGAATTTTTAAAATATCCAGTCACTTTTTCTACTAAATAAACTAGTTTCAACACTTTAGCACCTATTTTTTTAGGTCCCACAGTTTTGTATACGACAGATAATGATGTAAATTATATGCTATTTTATCATGTGCTTTCACTCAAAAATGCATACTGCAGTTCTGTATTAACGAGCATCTCGTGTTTCAGGTACCTGTGAGCTAGCTGAAAGGATTACTGCTGGTAGCTTTTAACCCTCTCAGACCTCCCCGCGGGGTGCAGCAGCATGCAGCACCGCTGGCCGGCTCTTCAGGGGCAGCGCACAGTGGGAAGAGCAGCTTCCACACCAGGCTGGCCTGTGCTCCAGCCCCCACTGCTAGCGTGCACCGCTGCGCAGTGGGGCACTTCCCGTTTCACGTGGTGTTAGTGCATCCTGGACCGTGCTGCCACTGCATGCCTGCTGTGGTTACCCGTCCAGGTGGCCTGCTTCTGACAGCTCTAAACATTTCTTCCGTTCCCTTCCTCTGGCACCGTCGCTGGTTCATCTCCCCAAGAGCTGAGTCAGAAGCTGGACTGTGCATTTACAGTTAAGACCCAGCAGGGGAGAAATGCAGCCTTGATCATCATTGGCTGGGTGACTTTTCTGGTGTATTTTTCAGAGTCCAGTGGAAAAATAGAAACCCACCTGGGTGTTCTAAGCACAAAATTTAAGACAGGAAAAGAGTACTCATGGAGTCGTTGGAAGGCTGGAGCAGTGAGCAGAGGCTGAGCCTCCAGAACCGGATCTGTTCGGGGTGGGTAGACAGTGTGTGGGGATGGTTGACATTACTCGTGGCACTGCCCAGGCCTGGGAAATGCCCAACCTGCCTTTGGCTGTTTTTTTTTTTTTTGCCGACAACATCCTGCTACTCAAGATGGGGGCAGCGTAGAGAAACTTACCTAACTTGGAGCGTGCCCAGTACTGAACTTGGTTGCCAGTCGAGTAACCTTTAGCTCGTTAACATACTCTGCATTGACTTCCGGGAAATCATCTAAAGGCCCAGCTGAGCATGTGGTGAAGGGAAGGGAGCCAAGACGTGATAGCACCACTGGAAACCTCGACGCTGGCATCCTCCCTTGGAGTCAGCCCACTGCAGCTTCTTGTGAGTGTGCACTCACTATTTCTCCTGACTTTGTACTTTGGTTTCACCCTGCTCTAAAGCTTTGTTGTTCCGCTATATGGATGTCTCTTGGCTGAATCCTTTCTTTAAGAAGACAAGGGCTGAGGTGTTCATCCCCACGCTAGCAGGTCCGCTGGGTGGCTATGGTCTCTGCTGTGGTCAGGAGGGCGGGGCACCAGGCGCTGTGTCGGGTCCGACCACGCTGCTGTCTGCAGTCAGGGCATCGCTGCGTCGCCTCTCAGCTGCCTCTGAAAGCTGCACAGCTCGGGCTGTCCCCGGCCCGTCCTGGGAAGGCATGCCCACTGTGTGCTGGGCTCAGCTGTCCTCGGAGAGCTGCACAGCTGGGTTGTCTCCAGCCCGTCCAGGGAAGGCATGCCCACTGTGTGCTGGGCTCAGCTTTTGGGGTTTGGACTCATCACGTGTCCTGGTGGAGTGTGCCTTCTAGTGAGGGAGACCCAGAAGCACAAAGTGAGCTCACAGCACAGGGAAGGGGACAGCGTTGGCACTAAGTAGGTGGTGTGTTGCAGTAGAGTGGGCCTCAGTGATGGGTAGGAGGGAGCTCTGGGCATGGGGACCCAGAGGAGGAGACAGCCAGAGCTAAGGAGTGTGGGGTAGCAAAAGGGATAGTTCTGGGTGCTTTTAGGCCACCGCAAGAACTTTGGCTTAGGGGTCAGCTGGTGGTGTGGTGGCTAAGGCGGCTGGATCCCACGTGGCCAACTGCGTGGTTCAAGTTCCGGCAGCTTGAAAAACATGCCAGGTGCATGTGCATGCATGCTCCGAATCCCGAGAATGGGTGGTGGTATGGCCATCTCCCCAGGGGGAGGGTGCTCTCTCCCTCTCTTGCTCTGTCTGTCTCTCTCCAGCAAGCACATGTGCCCTATAGCCAAAATTTAAAAAGCAACACCCCATGAGGCTGACCCACACGGTTCCTATCTGGAAACCTCCCAAGCACACCAGGCACATGTGTGCCCATGATCTGGGGCTGACTGAAGCCGGGGTGGATAGTGGTTTGAAGATCTAATTGGGGGCATTGTCTGTCTCGCTTATGGAAAAAAGAAACTTAAAGAAAAAGTAGGCTCAGCTGTGAGCTCCACAATATTTTAACAGTGGCTTAAAAAAAGAGTTTTATTTCACTCCAGTGGATGTCCAAAGATGGACAATCCGAGCTGGCACGGCAGCTCTGCCTCGCCAAGCCCCAAGGCCGCAGGTTCTCCAGCGTTTCTTCCCAGGGTTTCTGTGGCATAGTGCTCTTTCTTGTGCTCCGACATGGGGACCAGAGTGCCAATCATCACATCCCCGTCCCAGGCAGTGGGTGATTGGAAGGTTCGTGTCCCCGACCTGCAGGAGCCAGGGCATGTGTCCTTTGAGCAGGGCTCCTGGGAGCATCCCTGTAACAGCAGCCTGGGTAGTGTGTAAATAACAGCGATTTACTCGTCAATCTGGAGGCCAGAAGTCCCAGATCAAGGCACCAGCAGGTTCAGGTCTCTGCTTCAAAAAAGGCAGTGATGACTGGGCCCTTGAGGAGGTGGTGCCAGAAAAGCCAGGTGTCACTCCCTCGAGGCCTTTTGTGAGGGCCCTAATCTCATCCGTGAGGTTGGAACCCTTATGGTCTAAACACCTGGAGGTCTCATTTCTTCATCTCGTTGCACTGGGGATCGAGTTTCAACACGAATTGCGGAGGGACACAAGCATTCCCACCACGGCACTGGCCAATACTTGATGACTACACACCGTCTTCCAGAAGTAGTGACAGGCATCGCTTTCCTCAGAGGAGGCTGAGAAACAGTCTTCATAGCGAATGACCTACAAGGCGAGGGCCAGCATCATGGAAGAAGGAGATCAGATGCCACCAGTAGCCTCTGTCTCATCTGTTTGGATCACGGATAACTGAACTGCTGATCGACATTTTATTTTTTAGTTTTTGCTATGGGGGCACGATACACTTGTTGGAAGGAGACAGGAGAGGGGAAGAAATCAGCCCCTAGCGGTGCTGCAACCCCCTCTCCTCCATTCTTCTCTTGAGATTTTGGGCACGCACTCACATGTGCCTGCTGTGTCTTCCAAGCCTCTGGGTCAAGGACTTGAACCTTGGCCATGGCCAGGAGGGATCCAGCTGCCTAAACCACCACGCTACCTGGTGGCCCCACTACTGGCCCAGTAAGTCTCCAATGTAGTTTCCTCGAGCAGTTCTCAACTTCCAGCCCCAATACGTGCCTTCGGTGTAGCCACTTGCTTCCATCTCCTGTCCTTATCAGACAAAACCCTGATTGGGGGTAAATCTGAACCTTTGCCAACCGTGCATCTGCCTGTGAGTTCCAACCAGCTGGACAGAGACCCACAAGCTAGCTGGGTGGGCTCACTTTAAGGGTGACAACCTACTATCTTATCCTTGGCCGGTACCCACTCCCCAGAGAGAGCTAGGGTCACCCACCCTTATCGATGGTGGAGGCATCTTGAGACCCGGGTAGTGCCAAACCATATGTGTAGTATATTATGCCCTGCACGTACCTGTGATAAAGCTTAATTCCTGTATTAGGCACAGTGAGACATTAATATAACTAAGAATAAAATAGGACAGTTGCAACAATTTACTGTAATAAAAGCTATGTGAATGTCTCAAAACATTGTCCTGTACTCGCTGATTTTTCATTATGGTTGACTAGGTAACTGAAATCATGGGAAGTGGAATGCATAAAGGGGGCTACTGTAGTTAACACCTTTCCCAGTGTCCTCAGACCTCCGACACCCTCCTTTTATTCTTTCTGCTTTTTAAAAATGTTTACATTTTATTTAACTTTATTTTAACTTGACTGAAGTGAGAAAGAGTGGAAAAGTGAGAAAGCAAGCCATCAGGTCCAGGGTTCGAACCATGATTGGCCATGTGGGAGTCTAGTGCCCTTAACTAGCTCGCCACCTGCCGGCCCCTCATTGCATCTTAATGTATTAAGAACATGAAATCAGTCAGGACAGCATACCCCTCCCTCCTGCTGCATTTAGCAGTCCACTTGGTCTGTGTGCAGGTGCTAGGTCTTTCCTCCTGTTCTCATGGATGAACTGTGCTCTGCTCTGAGACCAGACCTGTCACTAGGCCACCAGATCCCACTCTTCTTTCGTCGAAGGGTACCAAGTCCTTTGAGCATGCACACACATCAGTCTCCCTCCATTAGACGCCTCATTGGATATGAATACGTCCATGTGTCACTCAATGGCAAGGACACATTCTGAGAAACAACAAGTGACCGGTCGTTGTGAGAACGCCACGGAATGTACATCCATGGACATAGGAGACCCTCTTTCTAGCCTCTGCTAAGTGGTAGCGCCTGCAGCTCCCAGGCTACCGACCTGAACAGCATGTCTCTGGACTGAAAGCTCGGTAGGCCAGCCCAACCAATGTCTTCTCTTGAGGGAAGTGACTTACCCTCTGCTCCATAGCCTAAGGCAGAGCCCCTGCAAGGGCTCTCTGATCACAGTGGTGCCCTACATCACTGAGTCTTGGCCACATGAAGCCGGGGTGCCCCAGGCTGCTGCAGCTGTCCAGTGTAGCCAGCTGTGGGGGGTGGGAAATGGAAGTGGTGCTCCACTCGCTGGGCAGAACTCAAAACTGTCCTTGTGATTCTGACAGGCCCTGCCTGCTGAAGCTTGTTCTGTTTTGATCCACCTAGGTGTTGACAGTGGCCTTGCTGTTTGTTCTGCTGCTTGGAAAACTACAGACTGGCAGACCAAAGATGTCCCTCTGGGCCACAGACCATGGAGACAAATCAGAGCCGCTGACTGCTCTGTCTTGGGAGCACATGAGTGCCCTTGGCGAACGCTGTTCTCTTATGAGGCCAACCAAATCTGGGTGCCTTGACCAGGCTGCCACCTCTGTTGCCTGGACCACCGTTGTACCAGCCCTGGCAACACCCCTCTGCCATGGCCGGGACACCCAGTAAAGGACTCTGTGTTGAGAAGTAAAAGTGACCACTGCAGGCCAGACTTGCAAACTGCTGAGGTTTAACTGTGTGTCTCTCAGTGAGGGAGGCCACCTTGCTGAGCCCACGTGGGGTGCTGGCTCCCCACTGTTGACTGCTTTTCAGGTTTCAGTGTTGTCCCGGTTCAGTCAGCTGACCTGGCCACCCCATGTGGCCTTTGGGTCATATGTCAGCCTTTCACACGTTTGTGGTCTAGCAACAAAATCTTTTTATTGCAATGAGCTTTCCAGTAGCTGAAGGTAGCCAGGAGACCGTGGACTGCCCACTATCCACAGGCATCGGATATTGAGTGTTCCAACAGCCTCAAAAATCAACTCAGGGCTGGCAGGTAGCATGGTGACTAGGGCTATAGAGTCCCACATAGCTGTCTGCAGTTTGAGTCCCAGACCAGGAAGCTTGCTCTCTCACTTTCCCCCTCTCTCTCTTTCTCTGTCTCTCTCTGGTGAGCACACATACTCTATAGCAAATTAAAAAAATAGGAGTCAGCAAGTGTGGTGGTTAAGGGCGTTGGACTTCCACATGGCTGA